AAACACAGAGGTGCACACGCACCAGGCCAGGCAGGGCAGTCTGGCCACCTGGAGGACATGCAGCCCACCTGAAGAGGGGCAGTGACTACCTAGTCCTGCTGATTGTTGCCAGGCAGCAATGTGGCTCAGTGTGGTCAGAGCTTCCCACTTTTTTCAGACTGTGTCAGAAGCACCTGCTGAAAATGTTTCTAAGTTCCCTTCCAGAAGCAGGGAGTGACCTGGGCCATCCAGGGAGGCCTGGGAGCGGTCTCATATGGGGCTCAGTCATCTGAGGCACTTCCCAAGAATTTTTTATGTGGAAACTATAAACTTTTTTTGTGAAACCTCCCACTTTTAAAATGTGGGCTTAAAAAAAGAAATACTCCACCTCATAGGATGGCTACTATAAAAAAAAGAACATGTGTTGGCAAGGATGTGGAGAAATTGGAACCCTTGTGCACTGTTTGTGGGAATTTAAGATGGTACAGCTGCTGTGGAAAACAGTATGGAGATTACTTAAAAAATTAAACATAAAATTATCATATGATCCAGCAATTTTACTTCTGGGTATATACCCAAAAGAACTGAAAGCAGTGACTTGAAGAGATATTTGCATACCCACAGCAGCAACCCAAGTGTCCATCAACAGATGAATGGATAAACAAAATGTGGTACATACATGCAACAGAATGTTAGCCTTCAAAAGCAAGGAAATTCTAACTCATGCTACAACATGGATGAACCTTGAGGACATTATGCTAAGTGAAATAAGCCAGTCACAAAAAGACAAATACTGTATGACTCCACTTATATGAAATATCTAGAGGAGTCAAATTCATAGAGATAGAAAGTAGAACGGTGGTTGCCAGGGACTGGGGGATGGGGAAATAGGGAGTGATTGTTTAATGGATACAGAGTTTGTTTTGCAAGATGAAAAAGTTCTGGAGATTAGCTGCACAACAATGTGAATCTACGTAACACTACTGAACTGTACACTTAAAAATGGTTAAGATGGTAAAGTTCATGTTATGTGTATTTTACCACAATTAAAAATACATACATACATACATAGATACTGTATGGGCTTGCAGTCCCTCACCTTTGAGATCACTCAACTTGATCTTCTATGAGGGCCCTTCCGGCTGCTTCACAAGACAAGAAGCCCCAAATGGTAGTGTCCTGAAGGAGACTGAGCCAAAGGAAGCCATAAAGTGGTGAAAGCCAGAGGCCCAGCCTGCCAGTGCTGAGGGTCTGCACCAGGGGTAACAACCTCTCTGTACAGGACTGTCATTAGGATCCCAGAGCCTTGTGCAGTGCACCCTGCAGATAATGAGCTTCCAGAGGCCCCTTTTCTGGTCCACCTTCTCTTGCTTCTCCCAGCTCCTATCTTTCTTCTGGCTGCCTCTGCGAGGGGCTAGGAGTGTGGCATTGGGGCCCTGCTCCAGCCTGACTACTTGTTAAAACTTTCTGTGTTGTTCAGCTTGACTGTCCAACCCCTTTCACTGATGTCCCTAACTCCTCCAAACAGTCCTCTAGCTTCTGCGGCCCATTGGGAGTGTTGCCTGTGGAGGCTGTAGCATGCCTCTCCCCCCTGGAATCCTGGGACACAAGGTGGAGGGACAGAGAGGAGGATCCTCATTCATCTCCACGAGGGACAGCAGCCCAGAGGTAGGTTCTGGGTCTCCAACAACGTGCATCTGTTGCTCTGGGCTCCTGGGAGTTAAACCGTGGTCACCCACACTCTCCTGATTCAGAGATGGACAAATCAAGTTTCAGAGAGGGCAAAGGAGTTGGTTAGTTTTGCATATACTGGGGACCCTCCCATACAGCCTGAGCCAAAGCTCCTTTCCCCAAGGAATGAGCTTCCACCCTTCCCATCACTTGCTCCTCATGCTGGTTGAGAAGAGGAAGGGTGTGCAGGCCCAGGTGGGGATCTAGGAGTCTGAGGCCACCCATTACTTTCTCTAGTTCCCACCACCACCAACCCACCCTCCAGGCTTTCCTGGCAGCAAACAGGATCTTGTCCAAACTCTCCAAGCTTAGATACCCCTCCCAGGCTAGCAGCCCTTAGATTTGTCCTCAACTTACCTATGCCAAGCTGTGTGCCCTTGGCCAAGCCCATCCCCTGCCTGGGTCTGTTCCGCCTCTGTACAAAGCAGGGTTGGGCTTTAGGCACACAAGCTTTGCACCAGGAGATGGATCTAGATGGACCGCAGACAGGAGTGGAGGGCGGTCACCTGTCTATTAGGACCTGGAGTGCCGGGGACCCTCTGCCTCTTCTAAAGCTGCAGAGCAGGAAAGAATCCCTTTAAGGCCTGGAACCAAGCCTGGTCACTGCACGGGTAGGGTGGAGGTGAAGATGTGCTGCCATCTGGGAGTCCAGCCAAGGGGCCAGACAGCCACATCCTAAGGCTGTCTTGCCTGGCCCAGAGAACAACTGGGGCCCTGGCCTGACTTGGCCACATCTAGACAGGCAGATGAAGGCTGCCCTATGTGTCCCTGAGATTTGTTCTTTAAAAACCAAGAACAAGAGAAGATGCTCCACTGCTCTAGTAAGCAGGATTAAGTCTCAGCAAAATGGGGATTCATATGCCCCTGAAATAAGCGGAAATTTGGAGGGCAATTTGGCAAAACCTAGGAAAGCTGATGCTTTAATCAGCCAGATTAAAAAAAAATTACAGCATGAAATGTCCAAGATGATACCAATTATGTGAACCTGAAAATCACAAAATAATAAGTTTGGGACACAAGATGTGCTTTTAATATCACATTTATGTTAAAGTATGAAAACCTGCATGAAAAGGATACATGCCTCAGAGGATATTCTATTCTTTCATGTTAAAATGAAAACCCAACAAACTGATTTACAACCCTGACAAACAGCGGGGAGACAGAAATGAAAAACAAAGAGAATTTCATTTTTGTCACTTTATTAAACTTGAAGCAAAAAAACAAAACAGTCATACAACAGCCTGCCTTCTGGTAAGTTATCTGTATTTTTAAAACTTCTTAGTAAACCAACCAAAACGCCAGGTAAATCAGCCCAAACAAAACCAGAGGCCACATGACAGCGTCCCCCCTTCACAGAACACGAGTAACCACCACGGGCCAACCCCGCCTCCTCACCACAAGGGAGGGCGCTCCAAAGAGGTATTCAGAGACAAGGCATGGCGGCAGTCGTGCCAGGGGACCTTCAGCCAGTCCGATGCCCCACCGCCCCTCCAGGCCCCTGCCGGGCCCAGTGGGAAGCCAGCCGTGCCCCATGCTCACTCCCATTAGCAGTTACAGCGCCGGAGCTTCCCTGATTGGTGGAAATTGCGATCCCTGATTTGCATAGGGCCTCAGGGCCAGCACGGCGGCAGCATCTCTGCAGCGGCTCAGTTGCAGTGGGCGGCCTAGCAGCACCTGTCCTTCCCTGTGGCCTCAGGGCCTGCTTCCCTCCGGCCACCTGGAACAGCGTTTTGTGGTCCCTATCTTCTGCAAGTCCCAAAGACAATGGAGCGGACCGGCCCTGGCGCTCCTGGAGATTCTTCCGTTCCTTCCCCCTGAATCCCCGGGAAGATCACGTCCTGGCATGCACCTCCCCCTACCCCCCACCCCAGCCTCTGCACCCTCTTTTCCATGGAGGTTTAGGGGAACCTTGCCAGAGCACCCCCATTGACAGTGGCCCTCCCAGCTCATCACATCCCTTTGGGACACCCATATGAGCAAGTACTTACCCGCCAGGTGGCCAGCTGTGCTATCTGATTAGTGCTTGTCACTCCCTGCCTAGCACAGTGGGGGAGGGGGGCACGTAGTAAGTGCTCACATTCACGTAACAAATATTTGCACACTTACTGTAACTGGACTGAAAACTCCAATCGCTCAGGTTCTTGGTCAGCGTAAGAGTGGAATTCAGACACTGACAAAACAGCAACAGCAAGCAAGCCAAGATTTATTACAGGAAAGGTCAGATACACTCCAAGTGAGGAGCTGGCAGTGCCAGAGAACGCATCTGATCCGCGTTTTGAGTTAGTTTTATTTTTATTTGGGCTGTTTAGAAGGGAATTAACATTATCTGGTTATCCGCCAATAATGGTTTTTTCTCCACCCACACGTCGCGAGGGGGAGTTCTTGACCTTCTAGGGGAATCTCCAGAACTGTTATGGCAGTCATCCCCGTGGAAGAGGGGTTAATGCATATGGAATTTGTATGTAAATTAAAGAAAGGTCAATGTCCTCCAGAAGTGTATAGCAGAAGGCTTTGTTTTGTGCACTCGTTACTTTTATCATAGTGGTTGAAGGTCTCAGACTCTGGTGGTGGTGCCAGGCGGGTCTCAGTTCCCCTTTATCTGCGTCTTGTAGGATGCCAGCAAGATGCTTCACTGATGCAGCAAGGTCTCCAACTATGATCCCTCACACATGTCTGCCTAGCTACCTATCTCACTACCATTAACATTAGGTAAAAATAATGGTGAAAAAGCAGTCCCTGCTTTCATGGAACTAATGATCTGGGTGGGGAGACTGACCATAGATAACCACCCCCCAAAAATATCTAATTATAAAATGATTCACTGCCAAGGAGGAGCCTGCAGAGCAAATCACAGGGGGCTCTGACCAGGCTGGGACAGATGGTCAGCCCCCCAGGCAGCCTTGCTCCGGGCCCCAAGCCCATGTCATCCTCTGTGCCCTGCTCTACCCAGAGGGTGGGAGTCTGCATAGGGCTTGGTGGCCTGTGACCAGGGCTTCTCCTCACCCTATGCTCCCTGTGGTAAGGACAAGGTCTTGGCCTCTGTACAGCCTTCTCCCCCTAGCCCCTTACGTTTGGCAGGCCCTCAGGTTGGTTTTAAGCTAAAGGATTCGGACAACTTCCAAGTATGAAGAGTGAAGAGACTCAACCATGAACCCCTCACCAAGCCTTTTTCATTGTTTCCAAAAAAGCAGTTTGTCCCCAAAAAGCCCCAGTGCCCCATGTTTGCAACAAAATCCATTCCTAAGGACTGACGCCATGAGAAAACAGTAAGATTCAGAACTCCCCTCACCAGCAGTTTATCAAATATAATTTATTCAGAAAAAACAGAATGTTTTAGGAACTGAATTCCAAAGAACTTAGAGCCTAAGCTGAGTAGAAAACAGCTTTCTGCTAGCAGCACCAGGTCAGGTCTGGGCTGTGAACTGCCAGCAGGGTGAAGCTTTGAGGGAAGGCTCTCCAAGTCTACCAGGAGAAGACTGAAGGCATAATAGCCCCCACTATGGTGGTGGCCCCTCCTCTTCCCAGGCTGCCCATCAGCCCCACTGTGGGTTTCTGGTCATAATCAGAATAGCCACTCCCCCATGAACCCACAAATGTCTACTAACACTGTGCTAGCTCCTCCCAAAGCAAATCCATATACACAGTGCAAGAACCTGTTATCAGCAACAGTATTTAGTGCAGCAAACCTGGCCTTGGTCTCTGCAAGTCCTGCATTATTCACTGTGAAGTCGCTTGGCCATGGGCTCCTCCTCCTTCTCCTGCTTCAGCCATTGCTCCAGGAGTCCTGCACTGCTTCTCTTGATGGACAATGGGCTCTTCTGCAGCAACTGGCTGGACCACTGGGGCACATCTGACCCTGCCTTTTCGGGTGTTTTGGGGTCTTCCTTTTTGGGTGACTTTGTGGCCAGCCACTGCAACATCTTCTGGCTGCTGCCTCTTAGCTTGAGAAAGAAGAGAAAGCTCAAACTTGTGAGCTCAAATCCAGCTCAAGCTTTTGGGAAAAGGCTAACTTTAAGGGAAGAAAGGGGAAGAGGCATTAGGTCCTGACCCAGGCTTCGGAAATGTTACTAAGGGCCAGATGGGGCCCACTAGTCAGGAGTGGGAAGAGAGGAGAACTGAGTGTGCTCCAAGGTACAACAGTAGGGAATAGCTCTCACAGAAGGCATCACAGAGGAGATGTGTGGGACCAGTCAGACAAGAGAGCTGACTGGCATTCCAAACATGTGCAGAGAGTGAAGCATCCTCAGAGAAAAGAACGTAATCAAGTGTGACCAGGCAGAGTGTTGGGAAATGAAGCTGGAGAGGTCTGGCCATCCCACCATGACGAGGGATTCAGCCTAAGGCTGAACAGGCTAAACTATTTCCCTACTGTGCAGCCCTTCTGCACAGCCTCTCCTTGACCAGCACTGCTTCCCTTCTGCTTCTCTTATACCTGCACCGCAACCCTGAACTGAAAATTCTGAATTCGCATAATGCCACCCCTCCAGAATGTGAATTCTTTTAGAGTAAAGACCATGGTGGAAATGGGGCAGTGTCTAGGGCAAAATGAATATATATAATTACATTTTTAGAGAAAAAAAGTGTCAGGGTTGCAGGAGTTTGCAAAGAACTGAGACAAAAGAAAATGACACTGACTGTGGGTATGGAAAACTTAAAAAACTTTAAGAAAAAAAGGGGGGTAGGCCATTCTTGCAATCATCATCCTTAACACTTCTCAGGCACTCTAAGATGTCTATTTTTGTAACATCAGAGCCATATCCTACTTCAGGTCCCTCTATGCCACCTAGAAACAGCTGCTACTCCTAAATTTTTATCCCTGAATGTCAGTAGGGGCCAGCTTTTTGCTCTGGAACTTCCCTCTCCACTGCAGCCCTTTTGCCTGCTCACCTTCCCTTCAAAATATATCTTCTGGGTCCTTGCCAAGTTTAAGAAGTTAAAGTTCATGGAAGGAATGTTCCTAAATTCTCCTGAAGGAGAACAAGGATTGGAACTCGTCCAACTGGTGGTTGGGAAAGCAGAGGTACAGAAAAGAGACAAAAAAATCACAGTTGATTGTGGACAGAGATACAATTACAGGCAAGTGCTCCTCTCTTTCTCACAATCACCCTCTAGATTAGGAGTCCTCAAACTTGGCTTAATATCAGACTCACTGAAGAAGCTTCTTAACGATACAGAAGCCCAAGCCCAACCCTGAACATTGACTCTGTAGGTCTAGAGAGGGTCCAGCATTTACATTTTGAAAGAGCACTCCTGAGGACTCTGAGTCACAGCTAGCTTTGAGTCATTGCTCTGCTCGACTTTGCCATGCACAAGGAATGAGTTTTGGGTGGTTTAAATTAAAGCTCTCATTGCAAAAGACCATATCCTAAAAGAAAAGGCTATACTAATGGAAGACAGAAAGCTCAAAAAAGAATGTCAAGAGTCATAGGCCCCTACCTTTTTGACCAATAGGTCGGCAGGAGCCAGACACTCAGGAGTGTTGTTTAGGGAGTTGTTCACCGTAAGAGAGACTGGATGGAAGGTGATGTTCTCTGTGGGGTGGATTAACTTCAGAGCTTCCTGAGTTGAGACTTCACCAAAATCAAGCCATTTAGAGACAGCTTCCTCTCCATCTAATATGGCAGGCATCCTAGTCAGTGAGGTCAAAACATTGGTTGGGAGAGGTAGAGTGAGGGTAGGGAGAGAAGGCAGAAAGACTTGAGTCAGTTGACAGCGCAAACTATCACAAGGAGAAGCTCACCCTCCCTCTGTGCCTCGCATGCTGATTGCTGCCATGTGCTCCCTGACCACAACTTGACAGGGCATGACATTCAACACCGGGAGAGCCAGCTTACAAAATTTTATGGCAAAGACCGTGAACACCACTTTGACTGGATCCAGGGCACTCCAATGTACACGCTTGCAAGTTGGTGACCTTTCTATGATAACTCAGCCTACAATTAAAGGGAAAACAGATCCCAGAAAACTTGTCTATCAACACTGATCTCCAGCCTTACTACCTATGACAGATTTACATTAAGAAAGAGTATTCACATAATTGTGAACAAAAGGAAACTATGCCTTAGAAAGCAAAGAGGCTGTCTAAGATGGCTCCTGGTACCCAGGAGGATGTTAGGAAAAGATCCTATGTTTACCTTCCAGTTTTATGTCCTAGGCCAATGCAAAGCATGGTACACAGTTCACTGGTGGGTACTGTTGATTTTAGGAGATAAATGCATAAACATCTATTTTAATAATTAGTGTAACTTCAATAAATAAAACATGTACTTTAAAAAAATATTCTGCAATCTCTGAAATCCAGATGCATTTTATGATGAATGGCATCTCTGCACAAGTTATAGTTTAGTTGGCAGTAATTGGCAGCACTTTATTTTTCTTAACAGCATATAAAACAATGGTACATTTAAAAATCAATGGATGGGCCGGCCCCATGGCTTAGCGGTTAAGTGCGCACGCTCCGCTGCTGGCACCCTGGGTTCGGATCCCGGGCGCGCACTGACGCACTGCTTCTCCGGCCATGCTGAGGCCACGTCCCACATACAGCAACTAGAAGGACGTGCAGCTATGACATACAACTATCTACTGGGGCTTTGGGGGAAAAATAAATAAATAAAATTATATAAAAAAAAAATCAATGGTGTCTTAGATTAGATGCAATGGGAATTTATTTTAAGGTGAATTAGCGAAAAATAGAAGTACTATATCACACGAAAGCATAATTTCACACAGAACACTTAGGACAAGGCTAAAATGGATAATACGTGCAGCACTGCATTCTTTTCAGCACAGCACCAAAAATCACTTCTGAGAGTGCTCAGATCTGGCAAAAATTGTCAAAGTGTTACACAAGTCAGTTCTGCTAATGCTCATACACAAGTCAGTTCTGCTAATGCTCATTTTATTTATTTATTTATTTTTTAAAATTTTTTTTTTATTTATTATTTTTCCCCGAAAGCCCAGTAGATAGTTGTGTGTCAGAGCTGCACATCCTTCTAGTTGCTGTATGTGGGACGCAGCCTCAGCATGGCCGGAGAGGTGGTGCGTCGGTGTGCGCCGGGGATCCGAACCGGGGCCGCCAGCAGCGGAGCGCACGCACTTAACCGCTAAGCCACTGGGCCAGCCCCTAATGCTCATTTTAAAAATGGGAATCTGTTCAATATGACTGATACGCTATGGAGCAATTTAAGCATAATACAGCAGTAAAGTGAGGTATGCCTGTATTTGTGGTAGTATCTATGTATTTCTTAACTGTGGTACTGTTTTTAATAGATTCCTATTATTTTTTAATGTGTCACTGACAAAGTTTTTAAGTGTTGTCTCTTTAACCCCACTTTTCTCATAAGTTCTGGGTTTTCACTGTACAATTTTGCATAGTGTGGTGACTTTCAGGAACGCATGTCATATTATAGCCAACTGACTGTAATTGTATTTTGCAAAACAACTGCTACTCTCTAAATTTGTGCATACAGAAACTTTAAATTCCAAAAGCTACCTATCTAAAAGCAAAGAGAACAAACCCTCCTCTGTATCATTTTGGACCCAGGGATAAGAAATGTCACTTGCCTTTGGTGGATGTCATTCAAGCTTTTGCAGGAATCCACTGTGATGATGGTGTAGGAATACAGGTGGTTTCCTCCCTCGGGGGGCTCCCAGCAGTCAAAGATCCCAGCCATCGTCAGCAGCCTCCAGTTGTCCCAGGCTTTCTTCCAGTCCTCTGGACTGTCTGCTGCACCAATGCTGCCTGACTGGAAGCAAAATACATGAGCAGATTAGATACTCAGCAGCCCCCCTCCTACATGCAGGTCAGCTACTACTACAGATCTAAGCACATGGCAATCCTAATAGAAGTAATTCAGCCCACGCCTTATTAACTCCTCTGATCCAATGTCGCCAAGAAAAGAGGGTTGTTGGCAAATACCCACCAAAGCTATAGATTTATGGCTCCTTAATGCTTTCAGTATACAATTTAACTTCTTCAATGGGCATTCAGGCCTTCCATGATCTGGCCCATCATTCTAGCTTCACCAACAATGTTAATTTGAACCAAACCCAGCTGTTCGTAAATGAGGCCCTCATGCAGTTTTGTCGCCCTGTATCTTGCCAAAACAACCTTCCTCTGCCCAAAATGTCCTTCCTGTCCTTTCTCATCATGCCAACTCCTACTTGCCATTTAAGATTCAGTGCAAGGCCTAGAATACAGAAAGCTGGAAAGAAAGTTACTTCCACCCTAACAACAAGAAAAAAGCTAGATAATCTAAAAAATTATAACTTTTCTTAAACTCATCAGAGAACTGAGGCTGCAAGACAACCAATTAGCCTGAACTTTATGGAACGACAAGGGCCTCCAAGGGGAGATGAGACACAAGTACAGGTGTTCCTTGTTTTACCGTGCTTCGCTTTATTGCACTTTGCAGATATTGCGTTTTTCACAAGACCCTCCACCAGCAAAAAATTATGACTTGCTGAAGGCTCAGATGATGGTCAGCATTTTTTAGCAATAAAGTATTTTTAAATCAACGTCTGTACATTTTAGACATAATGCTATTGCACACTTAACAGACTACCGTATAGGGTAAACATAACTTTTATGTGCACTAGGAAACCAAAAAATTCATGTGACTTGCTTTATTGCAATATTCGCTTTATTGTAGTAGTCTGGAACTAAACCGACAATATCTCCAAAGTATGCCTGTACTGGCTTACTGATGGCAACAGGAGGAAGTCAAGGCCTTCACACAGCAGGTAAGAATTCAGATAAAATTATCAAATTGCTAAAAGGAGAGTGTGGGTTAGACTGAGAGTACAGAACCCTTGGCAGCTGCAGACATCAAGGAAGTTGGCATCAGCTTGCAGACTCTTCTCCATGGACCTCTCTGGGTGCTCACAAGAAAGACTGGGAACAGGGCAGGAGACTGGAGAAAGCTGTTCTTGCTGGTGCATGCCCAGTGGAGAGTTCTTCTGCTTCAGGAAAGGCATGAAACCTTACCTGATCATGTCTCCTCTAAGGAACAAAAGCCTTAAGGGGCCAGGGGAAGGGTAATAAACCCTACTGCCCCTAAGATACAGGTAAAGACCCACTGGTGCTTGGGAAGGGTAAAAGAAAAAACCTTCTACTCCCCTAGGAAAAGAGCAGCATCACTGAGAAAGCCTGAGCACCAAGGACACAGTTCTGCCTAAGAACCAAGACAACAGAGAACTCTCTTCTCCCTTCGGATTAGCAAGCACCAAGTGACAAGCAACAGCAGTCTAATTCTGGGGAAGGGGAAAGAGCACGGAGAGATCCTCTCTAAGGCGAAGGCTCAGAGGGAAGTACTACAGCTGAAGGGAGCAGGGCTATTGAGAAAAAACCTCTGGAAAATCAACCCTTACCCTAAACACAAGGTGGCACCAGAGAACTTTAAAGCCTGTGGTGAACAAAGGTAATCATAACAACAAAACCCAAACCCAGTTCAGCACCTGTCAAGATCGACTCAACTTCACACATTAATGGCCTAAAAGAAAGATAAGTTTATTCATTTCCAGGCATAAATATTATTTATCTCAGTTTCTGTCCTACATACTGTGTCTAGAAATCAATCAAAAATTACAAGACACACAAAAAAGCCAAAAAGAACAATGAACTGCCAAGAGATACAGAAATCAACAGAACCAGACTCAAGAGATTACGTTTCCTAAATGCTGAAACTATCAGACAGGGAATTTAAAATAAATATGGTTAATATATTAAAGGCTCTTGTAGAAAAGGTCGACAACATACATGAACAGATAAGGAATTTCAGTGAAATAAGAAAGAATCAGTGAACCTAAAGACAGGTCAATAATAATTACCCAAACTGAAAACACAGAGAAAAAAGAATAAAATATACAGAAGAGAACATCCAAGAACTATGGGACAATATCAAATTATCTAACATATGTAATTAGAATCCCAGAAAGAGAAAAGAAAATGGGGCAGAAGAAATATTTGCATAGATAATGGCTGAGAATTTTCCAAAAATAATGAAAAATGTCAAACCACAGATCTAAGAAGCTCAGAGAACATGCCAAACACACACACACCACATACATCACATTCAAATTGCTGAAAATCAAAGAGAAAATCTTCCAAAGAGGAATGGTGGAGGTACACATTACAAATAGAAGAAAAAAGACAAGAATTACAATAGATTTCTCAAAAGAAACTATGAAAGCCAGAACAATGGACCAGTTTTTTTGAAGTGCTGGAAAAAAACTCCAAAAAACTGCCAAACCATAATTTTATACACAGTAAAAATGCCTTTCAAAAATGCAGATGGTGGTTGCCGGGTGCTGGGGGAAGGGAGTGACTAATAATGGGTATGGGGTTTCTTTCTGGAGTGATAATAATTCTGAAATTAGATAGTGATGATGGTTGCCCAACATTTTGAATATACTAAAAACCATTATAAACCTTAAAAGAGTGAATTTTACGATATGTGAATTATTTCTCAATAAAAAAATCATGATGATTAATGAAGAAGTAGATACTTTTTCAGACAAACAAAAATAGAATTAATTACCAGCAGACCTGCACTATAAGAAATATTAAAGAAAATTCTTTAGGCAGAAAGAATATGATACCAGAAAGAAACTTGAATCTACCCAAAAAGTGAAGATCCATGGAAATGGCTAAAATAAAGGTAAATGTAAAATTTCCTTTCTTATTTTTTATCACTCTAAAATATAATTGACTGTCTAAACCAAAATAGTAGCAATGTATTATGAGTTTATAGCATATGAAAAAGTAAAATGTATGACAATATACCAAAAGATGCCAGGAATCAGGAATATACTGTTGTAAAGTCCTTAAACTACACAAGAAGCAGTATATTATTTAAAAGTAGATTGACGTTAATTTAAAATATATATTATAGAGCAGCTACTAAAATCATTTTTAAAAGAAGTAAAAATAATAAACCAATAGTGGAGATAAAATGCAATCGTAAAAAACACTCAATCCAAAAGCAGGCAGAAAAAATAGGAGAAAAGGAAAAAAGAGCTGATGAAACAAACAGAAAACAATTAGCAAAATAATGAATTTTTAACCCTATCAGATCAATAATTACATTAAATGCTCTAAACACTACAAAATTCCCTCCTCTGGGAAGCCTTCTATGATGCCCCAGTCTGAGTTATATGTTGTCCTCTGTGCCCCCATAACCTCATAAGCAAGTCTTCCACGAGTATTCACCACTAGTTTGTGACTGTTGATTTATTTGTCTGTGTCTTGGCAGTAAAGCTTTGAGGATAGAACGCATGTCTCACTGAACTTTCAGGAGCCAAGAAGGGCACAACAGTATATGGTGAATAAATGTCTACTGAATAAACAGATACATTTTTTTTTCTTTTTTTCTTTTTTCTAACATCTGTTGCCAATCTTCCTCTTTTTGCTGAGGAAGATTAGCCCTGAGCTAACATCTGTGCCCATCTTCCTCCATGTTTTGTATGTGGGATGCCACCACAGCATGGCTTGATGAGTGATGTGTAGATCCGCGCTGGGGATTTGAACTGGCAAACCCCGGGCCGCCAAAGTGGAGCACGCAAACTTAACCACTATGCCACTGGGCTGGCCTCCAAACAGATGAATGTTTATAGGTAAGAGACTAATTGTATAGAATTGAGGAAAGTGTCATTCTAGTCCACACAAGTGCCTACCAGTGTCTCGAGAAGAGTGCCAGAGGAAAATTCTCTTTTTGAATATACAATTCCTTATTAATTAATTAATTATTTGCTGAGGAAGATTCACCTTGAGCTAACATCCACTGCCAATTCTCCTCTTTTTGTATGTGAGCTGCCACCATGGCATGGCCACTGACAGACTAGTGGTGTAGGTCTGCGCCTGGGAACCGAACATGGGCTGCTGAAGTGGAATGTGCCGAACTTAACCACTAGGCCACCAGGGTTGGCCCTACGATTCCTAATTTAAAGAAGGAGAAGCAAAGGAATGGAAATCTTATAGAGTGGCTCCCTCAAGTAATAAGTCCCAGAAGTTCTGGCTTACAGTTTATTATTAAATGGAAAAAACCACAAGGGAGAATCTGGGAAGATGGCAGCCTAAATGCATGGCCTTGACTCCCTCTCTAGAATAAGAAAATAGCCAGGACTAGCATGCTGGCCCCTCTGAGGCAAGAGTAAGGGCTAGTAGTGTAAAGAAGGACTGGGGCAAGGACCTTGCATTTAGCAGCTACTTGAAGAGGGCAGGAAGAAGCCTGAGGATTCTCTCAGGGAGCCATATCTGTCTACTTGCTACATAGGGTCCTTAGAGAGACTGCTGCCAAATGGTGTCTCATCTCTCCAGTTGGGAGAGACTTGGTTGTAGAGAGGCTTTCTTCCCTTTCCTTGGAAGATTGCTAACACTTGGCTAATACATTGACTGGACACAAATAAAACCAGAAATGGCTCTACCTTTTACAGCCTGTTAGTTTGCCATTGTTGCAAAACCCTAAATATATGTAGGCATACTGAGGAATGCACTAGTATAAGCTGGCAAAGAAAAATTCTAGAGGAAAGAAAAATACCTAGAAGAACTAGGTAGAGCGTAGATAGGAGACTGAGTTAATAAAAAAAAAGTAGAGCTAGGGGCTGGCCTGGTGGCATAGGGGTTAAGTGCGTGCTCTCTGCTGTGGTGGCCCGGGGTTTGGATCCCAGGCACGCACCGATGCACCGCTTGTCAAGCCATGCTGTGGCGATGTCTCATATAAAGTAGAGGAAGATGGGCATGGATGTTAGCCCAGGGCCAATCTTCCTCAGCAAAAAGAGGAGGATTAGCACGGATGTTAGTTCAGGGCTCATCTCCCTCACAAAAAAGAAAAAGTAGAGCTAATGGGAGAAAGAAAAAACTAACAAAAAGGTAATGAATACTCAATACTCAATGAATGGATATAGGATAACTGGGTAGATATTGGGAAAAAGAAATAAAGTTAAATCCCTGCTTTATTTCTTAAAACAAAATCCAGATGGATCAATGATTTGAGAATCCTAGTACATTTCTTGTCCATGTACTGACAATCATTCAATACTTTTTCCCCTCTTCTCAAATATCCAACACTCCCTCATCATCCTCCTTCTCAGCTGATTAACTGTGTTTCCTATTTCACTGGCAAAAGAGAAGCATTTGGAAGAGAGCTTCCACATGGTTCCTATCAATGCATCTCCCCACCTACTATATACATTGTCTTCCCTCCACTTTCTTTCGGTCTGTGCTTTTTGCTAGGTCAGCCTCTCCACTGGTACACTAGATCCCATTCCCTGTCACCTACGCAAGGACGTCCCTCTAGTGACTTACACTTTTTCCCTGCTCTCTACTGGATTATTTCCAACAGCTTACAAACATGCTTTTATTTCCAATTGTTTGTTGCTAGTATATAAAAATATTGGTGATTTGTGTACATTGACCTTGACGATAAAGTTTTCTAAGGTACTTGCATTGCCCAAAAAGAGATAAAAGAATAATTCGATACCAGATTTAGGAATATATTTAACCAAGGAGGTACAAGACTTGTACAGTGAAAACTATAAAATATTGTTGAAAGAAATTAAAGACTTAAATAAATGGAAAAACACCCTGTGTTCATGGATTGGAAGATTTAATATTATAAAGATGGCAATTTGGGCAACACCCTAAATTGATCTACAGATTCAATGCAACTCCTATCAAAATTCCAAAAGTCTTTTGCAGAAGGAGACAAGCTGATGCTAAAATTCATATGGAACTTCAAGAAGGAAACCAAATATCCAAAACAATCTTGAAAAAGAATAAAATTGGAGGACTCAAACTTCCTGATTTCAAAACTTACGAAAAGCTCAAGTGTGGTACTGCCTGAGAACAGACATATAGATCAATGGATAGAACTGAGAGTCCAGAGATAAACCCATTCATATATGGCCAGTTGATCTTTGACAAGGATACCAAGGCCATTCAATGGGGACAGAATAGTCTTTTCAACAAATGGTACTGGGATAACTGGATAACCACATGCAAAAGAAGTTGGACCTCTACCTCACACCATACAAAAAGATTAATTCAAAATAGATCGAAGTTCTAACTATAAAGCTAAAACTGTAAAACCCTTAGAAGAAACAGAGGAGTAAATCTTCATGACCTTGGGTTTAGCAATAGATTCTTAGGTATGACACTACAGGCACAAACAACAAAGGAAAAAACAGATACACTGGACTTCATCAAAATTAAAAACTTTTGTGCTTTAAAGGACACTATCAACATAGTGAAAAGACAATCCACAGAATGAGAGAAAATATTTGCAAATCATGTATCTGGTAAGAATCTAGTATCCAAACTATATAAAGAAGCCTTACAACTAAACCAAGAAGACAGCCCAATTTAAAGGATTTGAATAGATATTTTCACGAAGAAGATATAGAAATGGCCAAGAGGCACACGAAGCGATGGTCAATGTCATTAGTCATTAGGAAAATACAGATCAAAACCACAATGAGATACCACTTCACACCCACTAGGATGGCTACAATTTTTTAAAAAAATGATCAAATAACAAGTGTCGGCAAGAATGCGGAAGAACCAGAACCCTCATACACTGTGAGTGGGAATGTAACCCAAAAAAACTGAAGATGGACTCAAACAGATACTTGTATATTAATGTTCATAGCAGCATTATTCAAAATAGCCAAAAAGTAGAAACAACCCAAGTGCCATCTGCTGGTGAATGAATAAACAAAATATGGTCTATCCATCTGAACAATGTTTATTCAGCCATAAAGCAATGATGTAGTGATACATGATACAACATAAATGAACCGTGAAAACATTATACTGAGCAAGACAAGCCAGACACAAAAGACCACATATTGTATGATTCCATATATACGAAATGTCCAAAACAGGCAAATCTATAGAGACAGAAAGTAGATTAAGTGGTTGCCAGGGCTGGAAGGAGTAGAGAATGGAGAGTGTTTGCAAATGGATATGGGGTTTCTTTTTGGGGTGAGAAAAATATTCTAAAATTAGATAGCGGTAATGACTGCACAACTTTGAATATACTAAAAAAATCACTGAATCACCTACTTTAAAAGGCGAATTTTATGGTAAATTCTATCTCAATGAAACTGTTATTAAAAAAAAAGAAAACTCTACGAGGGAAGGAAAAAAATGCCCTTCTTTAGTTTCTCTGTACCTTTCCAAATATCTACTATGAGGGTTGATGACGATACCTTTTCTGATTTTATTTGGGGGAAGTAGATGAAGTATGGCTGCCTCTCATGTGTTCCCTGACGTCGCTGCCACTCGTAGAATCCATCTGCTAAAACAACACAGCGTCTTCCCTTTCCCAGAGGCACCTGAGGGAAAATGTGAGCAAGATATGGTCTTAGTGATAGAATCATGTTTCATGGACTTGAGTTAAAATCTCAGGGCCACCAATGTGTGACTTTAGAGCAGTTATTTAATTTCTCTGTACCTCACTTTTCTTATGTATAAAGTCACCACTTACAGATGCTGAAAAGATTAAATAATGTACATAACAGCTATAGTGCCTCTCTAACAAATAGGCACTCGTGGTAGCTAGCCTCCAAAGTTGGCCCCTCAATGAGCCATGCGTGCCAGTATTCACAACCTAGGTAGTCTCCTCCCACAAGGCTAGGTCACAAAGTCATGCAGCTTCTGCCCTGCTCTCTTGGATCACGAGCTCGGGGGTAAGCTGGACGCCATGTAAGAAGCCTGATTACTCTGACACCCTCCAGGTACGCATGTGGAAAGGCTTCCAGTTCTACTCATCCCAGCTGAGGTGTTAGACATGTGGGTGAAGAAGCCATCTTGGACATCCAGACCCAGCTGTCATCTGATTATAACTGCATGAGAATCTCCAAGTGAAAACTGTCCAGCTGAGCCCAGTCAACCCACAGAACATGAGAAATAATAAATTGTTGTTCTGTTTTAAACCACTAAGTTTTGGCATGGTTTGTTACATAGTAATAAATTGAACTGCACTCAACATTAACAACTTTGAACACACTTTGGAAACTTAAGGAAGGTTCCAAGAAAACCTTATTTTATTTCTCAGGTATAAAAGGCACTGATAGTTCTGTTAGAAAAAAGAAGAGAATATGTGCTTTTTCCCTAGACCAGCTACCTACTTTGAAGGACCGTTTCTCCATCATGGTATCACTACGACAGTTGGTAGTGTTGAACAGCAGCTTGGAAGGATCACTTTCTTTGAACCAAGATGGGATCAAGCCCCATCGCATGGGAACAATGATACGCTCAGATGAGTCTGCGCCCTGCCACAGAAAGGGTTAAGAACCAGTGAGGAAATCATAATGAAATTGAGAAAACCATATTTAGCACATATATTACATTACTATTAGTATTAAAATACAAAGGATACAGAGAAGATTATTCAAAGGGAAAGATTCTACTTGAAAACAATTTTAATGATTTATCACGATGTGAGTAACTTGAGTTCTTTAGCAATCATATTTATTAGAATGTAAAACATTTGGCTTGGGTAGAATGGGGGATACAAAGAGGTTTAGTTCCTGTAAATTTTTTTTTTTTTTTTTTTGGTGAGGAAGATTAGCCCTGAGCTAACATCTGTTGCCAATCCTCCTCTTTTTGCTGAGGAAGACTGGCCCTGGCTAACATCCGTGCCCATCTTCCTCTACTTTATATGTGGGACACGTGCCACAGCATGGCTTGATAAGAGGTGCCTAGGTCCGTGTCCAGGATCTGAACCTGTGAACCCTGGACTGCCGAAGCAGAGCGCGTGAACTTAACCACTATGCCACCGGCCCGGCCCCCTGTAAACTTTTAATTAGCGCCTACCATAAGAGAGACATAGTGATAGGCCCTGCAGTTTATGTGGTCCCAGTTCTCAATAACACGTTATAGATAACCACAATACAACGAGGTACATGCTGTGACCAAGGAATGCACAGGGAGCTATGGGGGCACATGGAAGAGTGCTTAACCTCAAACCACTCGCGCTATTAACATGTGAAGCCACATAGACATAAAAATACTAAGTAATAATGTAAGATACAATAGGCTGAGGGCCATATAAGAGGTACATACAATAAGTGTCAAAGGAGTTCAGTGGAGAGTGATCTGTGAGAGATGGAATGGAGAAGTATCGGCTCCTCAGAAGGGGCAGAAAGGGCAGGGGTGTGGTGGGGTGGTTCTTGAACTGGATTCCACAAGAGGTACCCTCTCCAGAGAAGAGATGGGAGGGAAGACCAGAAATGAAATTAGATGAGCAAAGAGGCCACGTCAAGAATGTCCAGGAAGTGGTTTTGTGCAGAAAAGAGTTACAGCAAACCTGAGGATGCTATTTTTAGGAGGGCCTGCTTACAAGGTCTGCACTCAGTTAGCATCTGGGAACTTGGATTTTGAGTGTTCCCACCTTTTCCTAACTGATAAGGATGGTTTACTGTGCCTTGTCTGTTTGTGCAAAAAATGAGGTTTATGCTAAACACCTGCTTTCCTTCTGGGAGTCTGGAATTTTGGTACTTGCTAGGCAGGGAGTACTTATGTGACCAGCCCCCAATAAAAACCTTGGGCCCTGAGTCTCTAATGGATTTCCCTTGGCAGAAACACTGCACACGTTACTACATTTTTCATTGGTAGAAAAGGAACATGCTTGGTGTGTCCCCTCATAGGAAGGAGAGAACATAAGGAAGCCTGTGCATGGATTTTTCCAGATTTCCACTATTGTCTTTTCCCCTTACTGATTCTATTGTATACCCTTTCACTGTAATAAACCTTAGCCATGATATGCCTTATCTGCTGAGTCCTTCTAACAAATCTCCAAATGTGGGAGTAGTCTTGGAAACCCCTGACACATGGTTGTTAAACTTTTTTGGGGCAATTGACCCCTTGAGAATTTGATGAAATCTATAGATTCAAATGCACATACACACTATTCTGGATGGTGTAGTACAATATAGGTTGGAAGAGACCATGAGCAGAGAGTGCATTCTGGGTGCTACTACAACGGTTCAGGGGTAAAGATATGGTGGGTCTGGTGACAGCAGTGAGAATAAAAGACATCCAAAAGGTAGAAAAAAAGTGAAATTGTGGTGGTGAATGGAAAAATAAATAGGGATGATTAAGTTTTCAAGGCTAGAAGAGTGAAATAATGATGGTACTATGCAACAAAAGATACAAATCTAAAGAGGGGTTTGATTTGGGGAAAGATCACAGGTTGAATTTTAGATAATAGGGGCACGTCTGTGGCACTTTAAAGAAATGATTGTAGGGGCCGGCCCCGTGGCTTGGTGGTTAAGTGAGCGTGCTCCACTGCTGGCGACCCGGGTTCGGATCCCGGGCTCGCACCGACGTGCTGCTTCTCTGGCCATGCTGAGGCCGCGTCCCACATACAGCAACTAGAAGGATGTGCAGCTATGACACACAACTATCTACTGGGGCTTTGGGGGGAAAAAATAAATAAAATCTTTAAAAAAAAAAAAAATCTTTAAAAAAAAAAATAAAGAAATGATTGTAAAATCTTTGACACTCCTCCCATTGAGAGCTGGAGGCCTATGGTCCCTCTCCTTGAATCTGGATGGGCTCGTGACTCACCTATAACCAACAGAATGCGGTACAAGCGACACTGTACACTTTCTAAGGCTAGGTCAGAAAAGGTGTTTCAGCTTCCTCCTTGTCTGCAGAGACATTGCTTCTGGAGCTCTGAGCTGCCATGTAAGAAATCCAGCTACTCTAAGACTGCCACGCTGTGAGGAAGCCCAGGCTACATGGAGAGGCTACATATAGGTGTTCTGGTCAACAGCCCCTGTTGAGAGCCAACATCAACTGCCAGATAAGTGAGTGAAGATGCCTTTAGATAACAGCTTGCCAGCTTTTCCATAAAAGGCCAGATGTTAAGTATTGTAGACTTTGCAGGCCATACAGTCTTTGTCGCAACTACAACTGCTGTTATAGGGACAAAGCCATAGACAAATGAATGGATTTTGCTGTGTTTCATAAAATTTCATTTACAAAAATGGTCAGAGGGCCCTAGTTCTGATTTCTGCTCTAGACGATTCTAGCCCCAGGTGCCAAGTCTTCTCAGCTGAGGCCCCAGACTTCAACGAAGAGATAAACCATACCCGCAGTGCGTTGGCTTAATTCCTCACTGGTGAACATAATAAAAAGGTTGTTTAAAGTCATTAGAATAAAATCCAAGCAGAACTGTTTACTATGTCCAACAAACACTCAGAGATATGGAATTGAAGCTTAGGAGAGAGGCAGCATGGTATAGAGAATGGGTGAGCAAACTTGCTCTGTAAAGGGCCAGACAGTAAATATTTTTTGGCTTTGTGAGTCAATATAGTCTCTGTTGCAATGATTCAAGCAACTCAACTCTGCCACCACTGGTAGTGTGAAAGCAGGCAAAGAACTGAATAAGCATGGCTATGTTGTAATAAAACTTCATTTACAAAAACAGGCAGTGGGCTAAATTTGGTCTGAGGACCATAGTTTGCCAACCTCCGGTACAGAAGAAAGAATAAAGCCTTTGTAAGAAGACCCTCATTCAGGGCCGGCCCTGTGGCTTGGTGGTTAAGTGCGCGCGCTGCGATGCTGGTGGCCCGGGGTTCGGATCCCGGGTGCGCATCGAGGCACCACTTCTCCGTTCATCCTGAGGCCGAGTCCCGCATACAGCAACTAGAAGGATGTGCAGCTACGACATACAACTATCCACTGGGGCTTTGGGGGGAAAAAATAAAATAAATAAAATCTTAAAAAAAAAAAAAATAAGAAGACCCTCGTTCAAAAATCCCTTCTCTGCTACTTAGGAGGTTGGACTAGTCTCAACTTCCTGGACCCTCAACTTTCCTTATCTATAAAAATAGAGTGAACAATACCTACCTTGCAGGATCATTAACGTGTGGCTTGAAATAGACACAGAAATTCTAGTTTAATATTTTTCTAAGGTTATGATTAAAAACAAATAGTAAAAATTTCTATATAAAGGTGATTGTTAAAGCCATGAGGATAAAGTTTCTTGGAGAGTAAATCAAGCACAAGGTTTAACTTGGGGGTAGAAAAAGAAAAAAGAAGAAATGAGGGAAAAGTAGAGTCCAAGAGAAAGTGCTTAGAGAGAGAAACAGAATGAAACAAGTCAAGAGGATGGAATTCCAAGAAAGGAATCATCAGTAGCAGTACTGACTCTCAGAAGAGCTTCCCTTTTGTTTAAAGCTAATCCCTCCACTGTGCTCCTGATAAGATCCTGCCCTATTTCTTCCAAAACGTTGCCTGTATCAGCTAATCCCCTTTAGAAACACACACACACACACACACACTCCATTCTCCTTATGCTTGCCAGTTAGGTTCTACAAAGTCACTGCAAACACTGAATTAGCAAATACTGAGCTGCTGCTCTTAGGGCACATACAGGGTTAGGTTCCCACAAGTCTATGGAGAAAACATTTTCATCATCTGATCAATACATAACCTTATTTTATGTGTATTTCTATTTAAAGACACTTTATTTAATATATATTGTTGATTCATTAACGTTGAATTCATGACCAACAGCACTATGTAACTCATGCCTGAATGAAGCTTATCTAACACATGTCTCTTCTCTGTTAGGCATACTACAACGTTCTTTCACTTAGGAAGACCAGCCAGCACTTCAGCACTACGCTTGGGGACAATATTAAACAGTGAAATCAACAACAGAAAGCACAGAAATGCAAAAAACATAGCAGTAAATCAACCACAAAAAGGATAATTGTTTACAATATAAGAGCTGAAACAAGAAGGTAGAGCTTTGCCTTTTTCAAGCTCAGCTGGGAATGTGTACATCAGGGGACTCAAAATTTCCACCACTCTGTATGTCCATGAATGACTGAGAAAGAAATATGAGTATTATTTGTGGGGTTACAAACAAATTTTGGGTAAACCTGAAAATAAAAAATCTATGAATAATGAGGATCAATTGTGTGTGTGTATATATACATGTATTTTTACACCTTAAAGACAGAGGCAGCCTAGATATATTGTATGCCAAGAGGCAAGAAAAAAAAAAAAGCAATTAATAAACATGCAGGATAACTAAGGAAAAGACTACCCAAGAAGAAATGGTGGGGTAGAGAACTTAAATCCAAATGTTAATCTCCTCCAGGATAGGAGGAAGAGAAAGTATGAAAACAGAGCTTTTGTAAATCCTCTCTCTCTTCCAGAATCAAACGTGCCTTCCCAGCAGGGAGCCCACTGCCCAAAGTATAAACGAGAATAAGAGAGATAACATTATATAATGGCCAACTAAATGATCTCTCATCAGAAATCTGCAAGACAACAATACTCCAAATTTGAGGTTCTCAATATGGGGCCGTTTTGAACGCCCCCAAGCAAGACCAAGAAGGGGTGTGTTACTGGCATATAGGGGGTAGATTTGGCAACATCAGAAGAAATTTTTGGTTGTTATGACCTGGGGGGTGCTACTAGCATCTAGTTGGTAGAGGCCAGTGATGCTGTTAAACATTCTAAATACAATGCACAGGACAGCTTCCAACAAAAAATTATTCCACCCAAAATGTCAATAGTGCCAAGGTTGAGAAATCCTACTCTTACAAATTCCACTGATCATCTTTGAGTGTGTTCACTGGAAAACTATAAGCCAAATCCAAACGTGAGGCTGCCCCCTACTGGGAACAATGAATAGAAACTGGCTGAGACACCAAAATACTGAAAATATTGCTCAGTATTAGTCATCTTTCCCTATACCCTTTTGCACTTGTGACAAGTACAGCTGGTTAAGTCTGGGGTAGATGAATGAAAAAGGAAGCAATCTGCAAAGCAGTGGTTTCAAGTGCAAATGTTGCAATCTACACACGTGATGGCCGTTGATGATATGCACTAAGAAACTACTGAAATGATTCTAATTTTGCTTTACAATTTACAGGTTTGCAAAAAATGAAACCTCAATTATTTATCAAAATCAGGAAACTCTAGCAATCTTAACAAAATTTATTAGAGATGTGGAGTCAAAACACTAAATCAGCAAATTCACACCACTGACAGAAAAAGAGGGCTACTTTTCTAGGGGCTCCAACTTCCCCATTCCTAGTTCCAGGAAACATCCACTGGAGTGCAGACAGTGGTCTGGACTTCAGTCCCAGCTCTGTCCCTCATTGATAAGATAACCTAGGACAAGTCACAATTTCTCTACACTTCTGTCTTTACATCTGTTAAACGAAATTTTCTTCCAGCTAACATGCATTCTATAATTCTAAAGAGGTGGTACAAAGAGAACTAAGGCTAAAAATGAATAAAGCTCATACACTTAATCTTTCTCTCTTTTTACTTCAAATTATGCCTTCCTTTGAAACATGTTTTATTTTTCCTTTCCCAGTCAAGGTTCCCACGGTATTCTGATGTCCCTCTCATTAAAAAAAAAAGTTCTTTTAGTTTCAATAGGAAAGTATGCATCCACTAAAAATGGCTCAAGAAGAAATTTCAAGTAAATGGCTTCATTCAACAAAAAAGATCAATGTCAAATAATGTGATCCCTGTAATGTAGAAACGAATCTTTTGACTATCATATTATCACAGGAGTTCTAAAGAGTACGTAGCAGGGGTATAATCAACTTTATAAAGTGATTTAAGCATTTTAGATCAAATAGAATAAAAATCCAGGATGGAAACAATCATGATTTTTAAAAACATATAAGGCGTTTAAAATACTTAAGACATGGGGAAACTATTCATTTCTGTAATAAACCATTTTTATTACATTGCACACAAACACAAACTTTCAGGAGATAAAGCAAAGAACCAAAATTTGATTATAAATTATTGGTCACTCCAGCACTACAGGGGTAAATACTATAAACACAATGAATGCAATTAAACTTCAGATAACCACACCAAATACATCTGTTTCCAGCTTCACTAAAAGACAAACATAAAAAGACTGAAAACAAGCAGAAAGAATAGAAACTTCAATGTTCAAAAAACATCAAAGGTGTTTTAGATTAGCTAGTCTTAATCCTGCCCTGGGCCTAGAGATTCTGATTCAGCAGGCCTGGTAAGAGGCATGGAAATTTTTTTTTTTTTTTTAAGATACTCAAATGACCTTGATGATCAGTGAAGTTTGAAAGATGCTGTCTTAAAAACAGTATTCAAATACAAGGCTCATATAAATTCAGTATGCATTAACACTAGTATGCCTTGTATAGAAAAGGCACTTAAATTGAGCCTGAAAAATATGTTCTAAGATTAGAAGATACTGATAAAACTCCTTTCAGAGTGGTTCTCAACTGGGGGTCAGAATATATGATTAAAGGCTGGTTTTGAATGTCATCTCAGCTGAGCACACACCAACCCACACATAAGTAGATGACCCTCACGACGCCCCGCCATAAACTAGCATGGTGCAGATGAAGTGGTTACCTGTTCAAAGTGCAGCCGAGACAGCAGCACCGGGCTGCTCGACTGAGGGCTCTTGTTGTAGGAGGGGCAATACTTGTCGGGGTTCTTCCACTCGGGGAGCCGCGGCTGGCCCTGCCGGTTCCGATAAGCACAAGCTCTTGTGAGCACATCTATAGGTAAGTGACAGGACGTTCGCCCACACATCCTTCCAGGCTGCCTCTCACCACCTTCAGGGCACAACACAGTAGGAGAGGGTTCGTAGATCTCAAATATCAGGTCTTATTCCTACACTCACAGCGTTCTCTCAAGATCCCCGCAGGACTCTCCTCCAGGGCACCCACTGTGGGTCTGAGTCACCATCTGTCCAGTCTTTCCCCAGGAACAGGACCCTGCCTGTCGCGCTCACTCCCTAGGCCCACTGTCCAGCCCCGTGCGAAGCACTCAACCGAGTATCAGGAGGCGCTCCAGAAACATCCGACTGAACGCAAGAGAGCAGCTCTCCCTGAGCACGTTCATTCCCTCAGCTGAGTGGTTCAGCCCAGAAAGGCAAAGGGGTGTCTGGTCACTTCTGGAGCCACTGGCTCCTTCTCTGGGTGACTCTTTCCGTCCTCACTGCCTCGTCCCCACTCCTTTCCTCCTCCCCTCCTGGGATTAATCAGCCGCTCACACCAGGGAGCACCTGCCCACTGCAGCTGCTGCCCTCGTACGTCATGGCTCCTTCCCTGTGCGTCATGGCTCCTCTCCTCCCCACCGCCAGGGCGCGGGGCCGCCGCCCCTCCGCTCCCCGCGTCAGCCCGCCCCGGGCAGGTGGCCCCCAGGCCGCCGTCCGCGCCACCTCGCCCCTCCGCGCCGGGCTGGGTCCGCCCGCCCGCCCCGCGTCGCCTCACCTCAGCCGGCCGCCCGCCTCGCCTCTCACTCCAGCCCGGGCTCCGGGTCCCCCCTCACCTCGGCCCCGGTCGCCCGCCCCGCGTCACCTCACCCTCACCTCGGCCCTGCCCCACACCCCGGTCGCGCACCCTCACCTCGGCCCCGGCCGCCCACCGCGGTCGCGCACCCTCACCACCACAGGCCAACCCCGCTCTCCTCCCGCCGGGCTCTGGAAGTCCGCGGGCCGCCGCTGGCGGCGTCAGGCCCCGCCCCCAGGGCGGTCAGCCCCGCCCCCAAGCGGCGGGTTGTTCCCGCGAGGTCCCTCGGGCCGCGGGCGGGGCTTCTTCCCCTCCCCCCTGACGGCGGGGAGCGGGGCGGCGCGGAATTTGAATCTTCCAAAAGTGCCGCAGGAGGAGACTATGATTGCCTCTGGGGACTCCGCGATCCCAGGGTTCTCAGAGCTCCACTTTCCTCCATATTCGCCCGTTTCCCTGCGGGGTTAACCCCGCTCCCCGCTCCCAGGGCCGACTGCAGGAAGGGGGCTGGGGTTGGGGTGGGGAAAGGTCTTGAAGGACCAGGCTCGTCAAGTCCTCGAGGGGCTAGCAGAGACTCTAGATGCGTCCCAGGGAGCCTGAAGTGCCCTTCTCTGTATAGCGGGAACCATGATTAGGGCGCCCGGTCGTTGTAGGGGTGATGTAAGAGAACGTTTTCTTTACTTGTGTTGCTAACCGCCCCAGAGTTTGGGGCAAAAATGGAGAAAACTATCAGGAAAACTTCTGTGAATCACACAAGTCACTCTCAAACTACGGTGGGCACCAGAATGAGATTTTCCAGGGCCCTCACCTTCGCCCCACCACCAAATCTGAATCTCTAAGGGGAGGCCTAGATTTTTTTAAACAGTCTTTACAGGTGTATTTCAGCCACAAAGTTGGTATTAAAAGAGCAGCTGAGGTGGCCTCTGAGCCTACTCCCTTGGGACATGAACCAGGGCTTTCTGCATCTGCAGCCAACAGAGAGTGCTCTCTAACGGCTGTTCTTCCCCTCCCTGAGGTCACTGAATTGGATTGAACTGGGAGCAGGCGAACCTCAGTGCACACTCCACCTCAGACCTGATGATAGGGAATGTCTAGGTAATGGACCCAAACCCTCTGGGGCCTCCATTCACCCTAGAAAAGGATGCTGGTTGTGAGAATGCAAGAATAAGCACATGAACTCCATGCCTGCTCTCATTGCCTCAGGAAATCTGCACTGCTCCTGTTCCTGGGCATGAGGCTTGCACAGAGATGAGTGGGAGAGAGTCCTGCCCCATGGGAAGTACGGCAGCCACAGGGCTGTGGGGATAGAGCAGGTGTTCTTCTCGGTGGTGGGGAGGCCTGGAAGGTGAAGGTGGAGACCCTAAACATGAGTCTGCAGAAGTAGCAGTCATTCAATAAATACATGCTAACTTGTTTATGGGGATAAGGTAGTGTCTTGGGGGATAAATTCAAGAGGAGTTGCGAGCATTTTACTCATTTGCGACGTCCTTTCCCTTGCAGGCAGGGCAGCAAGTTCTAGGACAAGAAAATCATCCCCTATTTAAAAAAATAAAAAGTTACCCCCTAGCAGTCCTGGGGCAGGAGTTAAATAACAATAATCAAAAATCCTCCATGATTCCTTTTCAACTGTTTTTGAATACAGAGGCTTGAGAACGAGTTTCCACTGGGTTCAGGAGGAAGGTGTGACTTCTGCCTAGTATTGGGGGGAAAAGGGTGGGAGTAGGGCCTATGCAGGCTGGCCTCTTAGCCCACAGATGCCAAGATGATGTCTACTGGCAGCTCCTCCGAACTTCTGGCTGTCACCTGCATTGCTACTGTGTCCAAAAGCAGCAGCGAGAGCGCACCAGGACGTCATGAGCACCCCGGAAGTACAAGTGTGCAAAGCAGAAGGGGGCGGCAGAGCTAGGCTGAGGGTGGCGTTGGCAGCAGCTGATCGGGGTAGCTCTGGTGCAGTGCAATGGGAGTGGGCCTGGAACCAGGAGAGCTGGGCTGAAAGCCCTGAGGCTCCGTGCAAGTCACTTTACCTCTCTGAGCTGTGGTATCCTCAACTACAAAGCTGAGGAGTAATACAAAATGATTTCAAGATTCTGCCAATCTCAAATGAATTAATGAACATGTAAGGCTTGTATCTGATGTTGCAGGCTTCTCACACATTGGTTGAATCTAAGAGCACAGATGAAGGGACAGCCCCACATGACAAAACCGCAGAGCAGGTGTCTGCAAGACCCAGGGGACTGAGCTTGGGGGCTGTCAGCTGTGAGCAGGGCACTGAAGCATAGCTCCCTCCCAACCCTGTTTATAAACACTCAGCAAAACCAAACTCCCATTTCCTTTTGTTCACCGTTATAGGTATGATAACTGTATTGCCCCCGCTTAAATGAAAGGTCATTATCTCTTAAAGAAACATACAGATACAAACACATGTACATACAAAATGCTTTATCTGGAATTTGCTTTAAAATAATCTGGGGGAAGGAGAAGGAGTAAGGGTACAGATGCTGTTAGTTGTTGAAGCTGGAAGATGAGCACATGGAGGTTCATTATGCTATTCAATTTTTGCATATGTTTGAAAATTTCCATGATGAATGCTTAAAATCCCATTCCTATTAGAAAAGACCAACCAACCCAGTAGAAAATTAGATGAAGGATATGAAAACAATTCACAGAAAGGGAAATACAAATGGCACTTCACGTTTGAGAAGATACTTAACTTTATTCAATATACTTTATTCAATCAAGAAATGTAAAATAAAACTACACTAAGATACCATTTTTCACCCAGACTGGCAAAGATCATAAAATATGATAATATACCGTGTTGTCCAGAGTATGGGAGGAAAGGCATACAATTCCTATCGAAGGCAACTGGAAATATTTATCACAATGAGAAATGCAATTTGACCTGGTAATGCCTTGGGAAATTTATCCTATAGATATCCTCAGTGCACATGAGCAAAATGAAGTATATGTGTATATATGTATATGTGTATGTCTGGGATTCTTCCCTGTAGCCCTGTCTGTAATAGCAAAGGACTGGAACAATCTAAACCATTCATCAATATGGCCGGTTCTGTAACATATGGAACATCATACAGTGGGATACGAGGCAGCTACAAACAGGAATGAGGATGCGGTTTAGGATGATAAAAAAGTTCTGGAGATGGATGGTGGTGATAATTGCACAACAATGTGAATGTACTTAATGCCACTGAACTTTACATCTACAAATGGTTAAAATGGTAAGTTTTATGTTACATATATTTTTACCACAATTTTAAAAAAAAAGAAAGAATGAGGAAACTGTATGTACCGATAGGGAAGATCTCCAAGATGTACTGTCACATGAAAAGCAAAGTGCAGAACAATGTATGTATACTATTTGTACATAAACTTTTGAGTTAAAAAAGGGAAATATGGGCCGGCCCGGTGGCTTAGCGGTTAAGTGCACGCGCTCCGCTGCTGGCGGCCCGGGTTCGGATCCCGGGCATGCACCGACGCACCGCTTCTCCGGCCATGCTGAGGCCGCGTCCCACATACAGCAACTAGAAGGATGTGCAGCTATGACATACAACTATCTGCTGGGGCTTTGGGGGAAAAAATAAATAAATAAAATCTTTAAAAAAAAAAAGGGAAATATGTCTGTATCAGCTTTTCTATCCATAAAATCACTGGAAGGACATGCCGGCATTGTTTGTAACGGTGACATTGGTTGCCTGTGGAAGGGAACTGGATGACTGGCAGCAAGGGTCAGGAGGGAGACATTTCACTGCAGGTCTTTTTTCACCTGGTGAATTTTCAGTGCTGTAAAGTTTGAATCCCCGTGTTCTCAGTGGGAGTGCATTCCCAGATTGCAGTGGCATCCAGGCTGCGAGCTATCCAGGCCCTTCCCACCCAGAAACGCTGCTTGCCAGCCAGGAGCAGCACGTGGGTGTTCTTGTTATTTGGCACTTTGTCCGTCCTCTCACAAGGGTGCATCCCCAGCAACTTCACAATATCGCCCACAGCCTCAGTAGGGAGAAATCCCAGTATCATCAAACCATAGATCCTGTCTCCCTTTTGTGCCACCACCACTCCCCCACCCCCTAACACTGCTCTGAGGGGCTTTTAATGAAGTGGCATCTGAATTATATGCTCTAGACATGGCCCTGGATCCTTGCGGGGCAGGGAGTGGGGAGGGGAGAAAGAGGAGAAGCACATCAACAGTAGCCAGGGATTTTACCTTCAAGTGTCTTGATGGTCAACTAGATGAATGTTTCCTCCCTCACAAACTCCTTTCCTACCTCATCCCAAGCTGCTTCGAAGTTCAGTTTCATGACCTTTTGGA